TTGGAGCCGTGTGTGTGTGTGTGTGTGTGTGCCCCTGTAAGGGAGGAGCCACTTGAGCCTGGGCAGCCCAGGGATGCTCCTGTGTGCTGCCCCTGCAGGGAGCCTGGGGGGCCAGAAGTGCAAGCAGCTGCACCCAGGAACCGCACCCTCCTCCTCCGCGCCAGCCTCTTCCCAAGGGGGGAGCCTCTCTGGGGGTGGAAGGTTGCCACCCGCCCCTCCCATTGGCAGGCCCTCCGCCCTCCCCATCCCCACGGGGGCTCCTTCAGGGCCCCTTCAGGGGCGCCCGTAGATTCCGGGAGGGGCCCCTGGGCTGTCCCGGGGCAGATGAGGTCTGAACGCACGAGACCACCCCCCTCTGCCCTTTAAAACGGTTTGGTGGCATTGGCCCGATCGGATCCCTGCCGGGTTCTTGCACCATCAAGCCTCGTCAGGGGTCCCTGGAGATGATGCTAAAAGGAGTTTTTTGCTAAGCTTGTCTGAAGCTTACAAATCAGAACCCTGCGCAGATCCCAGTTTTATACTTTAATAAAGCTGCTTAATATTTGAAAGCTGGCCCTGACGCTCCCAAATTAAACACGGCAGGGAAATCCCTGGTTATCCTCTGCTTAAACTCCTCCCCGCACTGTTCCTGCCCCCCAAGGCTTCTCTCGCCCGCGTGGGCCTACCTTTTCTCTGCCCACGAAGCAGGCTGGCCTGAGCTGAGAAGGGTCGCCCCACCTTGGACGCCTGGAAACCTCGTGCGGGGAGGCCGGAGGGGAGGGGAGGGGAGGGGGAGGCTGGCTCAGCTGGGCAACCTTGTTGTCTCCTCAGCTACAAAAAGAAGGAGGGGGAATGGTCCACTTCCCAGGGCCGCATCAGGGAGCTGGAGGTGCTCTTCCATCGGAGCGAGGCGGAGCTCACGGCCACTCTGAGCGAGAAGCAGAGCCTGGAGGCCGAGGTGGCTGATGCCCGGGCCCAGCTGGCAAAGGTACTGGCACAGCAGGCTGGAGGGCAACTGCCGAGTGGGAGCGGGGCGGGCGATGGGGTTTAGTCCTTGTAATGGTCCAGGCGGCTGGAGGGGGTTGTTCAGAAGGGACCAGGGAGGANACATCCAAGAGAATATTTCACAAGGGGGAGGATTGGATGTCCGAGATGGTGCTTAGCTGTAGCAGGATTGTGACTAGGAAATCAACACAAATAATGTTTAAGCAGTAAACCTGGAGATGTTTCAATGCTGCATGATGTGTTAATAACCAGTGTGAATTAATGTGTTTTAGATGTAGAAGCTCTGAGCCACATTTTGTGGAGCTGCTGGTGTTAACAGCTCAGAAAAGGGGGCTCGATACGGGATAAAGCTGCATAAATTCCTCTATTCAACACACACAGGCGCAAAAAATACCCCTCAGTTTGCAGGAGGGGGGTGGGAGGGAGCCCAGCCAGGCTTCCTTTGTGATTCGGGATAGGGGGAGGGGTTCTCCTGGTGCAATGGCTGTGGGTCCTCCCAGTGCATCAGCTGCCACCCACACCCTCCCCTCCCCCCTCTCCCTTGGGGCAGGCCTTCCCCATAACGGCCTCCAACATGGAGGGGCTGGGGGGGCGGTCACCCATTGACCTGTCCACAGGGTGAAGGGACTGGGGGCAGAGGGGGAGAGTTTCAGCCTGCCTGCCTTCACCCATCGAAGTGCAGATATTGGGGGGGGGGGCATATTTGGACTGCCTTGAACTTCCTCCTTGGGTTCTTTGTGCTGCTCCCTGGAAGTGCCTGGGGGGGGGTTTCAACCGGGGTTAGTTGGGAGATCCATTAAATCTTAACACCCCCTTGAAATACACTGGATATTGGGGGGGGGGCTTTGGACCCCCTCAGTTTCATCCTTGACATTTGCTTTCCTCTGCAAATCCATTGGGTGGCCAGCCAGACAGCAACAGGCACACATGGGGTTGGGGCACCTTCCCTGCTGGGAGGCTAAAAGCCCCCTGCCCAGCTGGGCAGGGTCACACTACCTTTTGCAAGCAATGGGCTTTCTGAGAGGCCTTGTGAGGTGAGCATCGATACAAAACCCATTTCCTTATTATTAGAAGTCTATTTTTGTAGCAGTGCGTTTTTTGTTTTTTTTACTGGGGAGTTTCCCAAAATGGGAAGGGCTGAAAGGATGTGCTCCTGGGGGGGAGGGGGCACTTAATGTTGGACCGTACATGATGTCTTCAAGGGGAAACTGACCTCTGGCGTTGTTTCTGTGTTCTTATGGATATGCATGCTCACTGTCTTTTTCAGCAATTTATAATAACATTTTTTGGACTGGAAACATTTTGTACAATGCTCAAATAAACGTTTTGCATTTTTATCTGGACTCTTGCTGGAAGCTCCCCACCCCCCCACCCCTCGTTCTGGGGCAGAGGGATGCTGGGGAGGGCTGTTTCCTCTGAGCTGGGAGGGGGGGCAAATCTGCATTTCTCCTGTGCTGCAGTGAGGGGCCCTTGGGCTGTTTTCAAGCCTTTGGACTGCCGCCCCAGCCACGGGGAGCTTTTCCTTCTACTCTACTCGTGCGTGCCCAGGCACCCCCGCCCCATACACGGGCTAGGAGGAAGTGCTGACAGAAGCCCCATCCCTCGCTCTGCGTAGCCACTGTGGAGACCCAGCCGAGAATCGCCAGAAGTGGATGGCATCTCTGGCTAGGTGGAGTCTGTGCAGCTGCCCCTCCACCCCAGGCCTCCCTGGGGGATTTAAGCTCAGGAGGCCCGGTTGCATCTGGTCCTCTGTGCTGGTCCTGCAGAAACGGCCCCAGAGCAGCTCAAGGCTGAGGAAGGAGAGGAGCGCCGAGAAGAGCCACAGAGAGGATCGGGGCCCAGTGGCCGAAGCAGACTGACTGGCCTGAGGAGGAGGAGAAAGGAGCCTCGGGGACACGATAGCCGCCTTCTAATGTTCACAGAGAGGGGGGGGGGGCAACCTATTCTCCAAAGCACCTGAAGGCAGGGCAAGAAAAGGGAAACTCCTCAAGGGGAGAAGCAACCGAAAACTAAGGAGAAATTTCCCCAGGACAATATCAGTGGGACGGCTGCTCTCCAGGCCTTGTAGCTGCTCCGTCGCTGGAGGTTTTTAAGAAGAGACTGGACGGTCGTATGTCCGGAATGGCAGAGAGTCTCCTGCTTGGGCAGGACTACAAGGCCTCGGTGGGCCCTTTCACGCCTTACTCCTGGCCTTGTTCTGCGCTGGGCCGCGCTCCGCTAAACAGGGGCGCCGTCGGTCTTGTCGGGGCCGTTGCTCCACCTAAGCTCTCTGCTTGGTCAGAAACCGGGCGCGAAGGCGGGTCTCTGCCCCGGGATGGTGAAGGGTCGAGGTGGGCCGCTGCTCCTCCCCCAAAGAGCCAAGGTCCGAGTCAGGAAGAGGCCGGAGCTCGAGCTGGAAACCTCCGACTCAGCCAAAAGGAGCTTTGGATTGGAACTCGGTCTCCCCCTTGCAAGCCTCGGCTGAGCAAGAAGGCGGGAGGGGAGGGTTTCTTGGGACGGCAGGACGGACGTCCGAGTAAAAATCCTCTTCCAAATCCAGCCTCCCCCCCCCGCCCCCATTCCGAAGTCAGAAGGGGAGCGGGAGACCGAGGGACGCTCCCTCCCTCGCGGACCCCCAGACTCGTCGGGCGGCTCTTTCCAGCTGGCGAGCGGCCTGAGCGGCAGCGGCGCCTCCCTTCTGCCCCCCCCCCAGCCCACTCTATAAGATCTCTGGCACGTGCTCCGGACTGGCCAGACGCTCGGGGAGCAGCCGGAGGGAGGGAGGGCGGGGAGGGAGGGCCGGAGCCGGCGGGCCCGAGGCCGGGATGGGTCTGGCTGCCGCCGCCCGGAGGAGAGCCGAGGGGGACACCTTGAAATACTTCGTGGAGGATCCGGGCACCGGGAGGCTTTACAAGCGGGGACAGCTTTTGGGACAGGTAACCCGCCCTCCCCTTGGGGGCTGCGCGGGGCGCCGGGCGGCTGCAGCTCTTCCGAGGGCCGCGCCGAGAGACCGGCAAGCCCTCCTGAGGCGACGCCGTCAAGCGCTCCGGATCCCTTCAAAGTTTTGCCCCGCGACGGCGGCGGGGAAGGGGCGGCTGCCGCTCTCCTCTTTCAAGCCCCGAAGCGACGAGTGAGCCAGGTCGCATGCGGGAACCGCCGCGGGGGACCAGACCTGCCCGGAGACATCCTGGAGCCGCTCGGCTCCTCCGCTCGGTCCGCCTTTCCTGCGCGGCCCGGGAGCCCAGCGCCAAGTCCTGCTTGCTATCGCCGCTGCAGCCACCGGGGGTGGGGGGCGTTGCTCGCCTCTCGCAGCCTTTCAAAGAGCGGCTTTTCCCCCTGGAACATCGGTTGCTCTTCTGCAAAACTGAAATGCTGGCCGGGCTGTAAGGCGTCTCCCGCCCTCCAAGAGTGCCCGTCTTCTCCCGGACCGCCCTCACGGCAGAGGGGCGGCCATCCTTCGCGCGGAGCTGGCTCAGATTTCACTGAGTGCGACCGGCCCGTCCGAGGCCACTTCTTCCTCCTTTCCTAAGGATTGGAGCGGCCGGCCAGTTCAGACAGTTTCAGCCCTGGGGAGGGATCAGAGCTGGTGGTTTTTTGGGAAGGAAGTAAAGTCTTATCTTCAGACCCAGAACAACCCAAGTGCTCTGGGAAGGAGGGGCCAGAGGCTGCTTCTGACTGACACCCCCCCCCCTTCTCTGTGCCTCCCCACCCAGGGAGCATTCGGACAATGCTACAAATTTACCGACACGTCCACCAACAGAGTCTATGCTGTGAAGGTTCTCTCTCAACAGCGAGTCGCAAGGCTGGGAAATGTAGGAAAGGTAAGCGGGATAACCGGGGGCTTGCTCGTCTTCTGCCAGATTCCTCTCCGGGGAGATCAGCTCCCATAAAGGGAGCGCCAACCCTCCTTTATTGGAGTCAACTTATAGGGAGCAGGGGCGGCATGAAAGTCTTGTAGAAGGAATGAATGGATCTTCCCCTGGCTGCAAGTTCCCTGGGCTGGATGAGGTGGGGCCCAAATTGGGGTGCCCAGCCAGGAGCTGAAGGCTACCAACTAAGAGGTTGGGCGCTGGCTACCCACCTGGCCGTCCCCTGCAGGCCAGGCTTGCCCACACAACGTCTCCTCTTCAGCTTCCTTCAGCTCTGCCAAAGAGTTTCTCCCTTTGCCGGCCCATCCAGTAACCCTCCAGAGGTGGACTCTTCTGTCCACTGACCATTGCTTGAAGACCACGGGCAATAAAGGTTCTGCAGGGCGGTGTAGATCAGAGGTGGGTGGCGGCCCCAGATGTTTTCTCTGGGATAAAGGGCCAGAGCCGAGGCAGGGTCCCACAAACACACACACACACACAATGAGCCAAGGGCTGAAGGCGCTGAGAAGGGCTCACATGGCGCCAACTTCCTTTTAGGAGGGTGGGTGAGTGGGGCGAAGCTGTCTGCTGAGAGGGAGGATCTGGGCTCCTTGGCTCCCTCTCCCCACAGCTGCTTGGCTCCTTTCTTTCTTTCTTTCTTTCTTTCTTTCTTTCTTTCTTTCTTTCTTTCTTTCTTTCTTTCTTTCTTTCTTTCTTTCTTTCTTTCTT